GAGCAGGTAGCTGCTGAGTTGGCTAGTAGTAACTCATGGCTGCCTCTCGGTTGTCCATGCAGCTGAGCAAATCAATTTAGACCTGCAAGTAAATGTGAAAGTGGGATCTGCTTCTCAGCTGGAGCTGGATGCCCCCATGAAACTTATTCTGTGGCTCCAGGCATCTGTGCCTCATTCCACAAAGACAAGAAATTCCATGTGCTTTTAAGCAGTTCTTTGCTTTCATTTTTCACTTAGGGTTTTCTTCCACTGCTTGGAGTTCTTTGTGAGGCAACTAACTCTTTTTTAGAAACATAGAATAGTTAGGGTTGGAAAGGACCTTAAGATCATCTAGTTCCAACCCCCTGCCATGGGCAGGGACACCTCACACTAAACCATCTCACCCAAGGCTTCATCCAACCTGGTCTTGAACACTGCCAGGGATGGAGCATTCACAACCTCCCTGGGGAACCTATTCCAGTGCCTCACCACCCTAACAGGAAAGAATTTCCTCCTTATATCCAATCTAAACTTCCCCTGTTTAAGTTTTAACCCGTTCTCCCTTGTCCTATCACTACAGTCCCTAATGAAGAGTCCCTCTCCAGCATCCCTATAGGCCCCCTTCAGATACTGGAAGGCTGCTATGAGGTCTCCACGCAGCCTTCTGTTCTCCAGGCTTAACAGCCCCAACTTTCTCAGCCTATCTTCATATGGGAGGTGCTCCAGTCCCCTGCTCATTACTCGTGGCCCTCCTCTGGACTTGTTCCAACAGTTCCATGTCCTTTTAATGTTGAGGACACCAGAACTGCTCACAGTATTCCAGGTGAGGTCTCACAGGAGCAGAGTAGAGGGGCAGGGTCACCTCCTTCGACCTGCTGGTCACACTCCTTTTGATGCAGCCCAGGATGCAGTTGGCTTTCTGGGCTGCAAGCGCACACTGCCAGCTCTTGTTCATTTTCTCATCGACCAGCACCCCCAAGTCCTTCTCTGCAGGGCTGCTCTGAATCTCTTCTCTGCCAAACCTGCAGCTGTGCCTGGGATTGGTCCAACCCAGGTGTAGGACCTTGCACTTGTCATGGTTAAACTTCATGAGGTTGGCATCAGCCCACCTCACAAGTGTGTCAAGCTCTCTCTGGATGGCATTCTTTCCCTCCAGTTTATCAACCAGACCACACAGCTTGGTGTCATCATCAAACTTGCTGAGGGCGCACTCAGTCCCACTGTCCATGTCAGCGACGAAGACGTTAAACAAGACCGGTCCCAACACCTATCCCTGAGGGACACCACTCGTTACTGGTCTCCAGCTGGACATTGAACCATTGACCACAACTCTTTTTGTGCGGCCATAGAATCATAGAATAGTTAGGGTTGGAAAGGACCTTAAGATCATCAAGTTCCAACCCCCCTGCCATGGGCAGGGACACCTCGCTCTAAACCATATCACCCAAGGCCTCGTCCAACCTGGCCTTGAACACTGCCAGGGATGGAGCATTCACCATCCAGCCAGTTCTTTGTCCACCAAGTGGTCCACCTATCAAATTGATGTCTCTCCAATTTAGAGACAATAATGTTGTGTGGGACAGTGTCAAACACTTTACACAAGTCCAGGTAGATGACATCAGCTGCTCTACCCCTGTTCTGTAGCCCCATCATAGAAGGCCACCAAACTGATCAGGCAGGATTTCCCCTTAGTGAAGCCATGCTGGCTGTCACCAAGCACTTTGTTGTTTTTCATGTGCCTTAGCATGCCTTCCAGGAGAATCTGCTCCAAGATTTTGCCACGCACAGAGGTGAGACTGACTGGTCTGTAGTTACTTGGGTCATCCATTTATCCCTTCTTGAAAATGGGGGTTATATTTCCCTTTTTCCAGTTGTCGGGACCTTCACCTGACTGCCATGATTTTTCAAATATGATGGACATTTCAGATATGGTGGACAACATTGCACTCCAACATGATGGCTGTGCTGTGCTGTTGCAGCATCATATTTTGTGTGTTGAGCAAGTTAAGGACTTGAATGATACAAATGCTAAGAGCACACAAAACTGAGTTTAGCAGTCAACTCTCAACATCAACTTTTACCCTCAGTCACAACTCAATGCTCAATCTTAATCACAGCTATCAGAGCTCCAACAAGGCACCCAGAAATATTACTCTGAGGAATACCAGCATTTCCAAGAGCAAGCCCTTGTCCTGAATTCCAGAGGCATAAGGGGAAGGTAAGTGGATTCCTGAAATTCATAAAAGAATTGTTGCTCCAAGCACAGTTGTCAATCTGCAATGAACTCTCAGAAAGAGTGCATGGTAACAGTTCTCTTATGACTTAAGCAGAGAAAACCAGGACTCTACTAGTATTGCCTGCAGTATGGAGACCTCCTTTAACTCATACATTATCGGTGAATAAAGAGGCTAAGAAGTCTAATCCTAACCTCCATCGTGGAGACACTCCTAGTGACGGGATCCGTAACGACTTCCTGCACTCAGCCATGTTGTATCTTCTATGCCCTATTTACCACTCTTACTTTTTTACCAGTCTTCCTCAGTCTTTTCCTGCACAAGACCTTCCTTAAGACCTTCAATTGTTCCTGTAGTTTTTACAGGTTTGGTCTGAGCAGCCAAACCAGAAAGAAAAGCCATGACCCTGAAGACTTCCCTGGTTGTACTAATACGAGCAGCGAAACTCTTGTTCTGTCAGAACAGGAGCCTATGGAAAGGTTTTCCTTAGATTTAAGGAAGATGCATCTAAGATGATCATATGTGATTTTTTTTTTAGTAATGCATGTACTAGAAAGATGAGAACTGTGTAGCTCACATTCAGTTTTTCCAAGGAAAATGTTAAAATATGGATTTTCCACACTTTGGAACAAGGTTCCAAAATCTAACTCAAGCACTGTGCTTGAGAACGTCTGCCTGGTCCAAACAATGTCCGTCTGATTGACGCTTCCTGTTTCCTAGAATCTGGCACTGCAGAAAAATGTCTTCAGCTGGGAGAAACAACATCAAAGACAAACCTGCTCAACTTCACCCATATTCCCATGCCAACAGAGGAAATATCAGGAGGATTTGTTGGCAAAACTGAGCACACTGAAATGCTTGGGGTTCCCCACCACCCTTTTCCGTTTTTTTTTTGATAGATAAAAGATGGCAACAAAAAAAATTTGGCAATACATGGCTTCCCATAGACATGTTATGCAAAGCACTGCCTTGACACCATGGGGACACCATGAACCCTTTGTCCTCTAAAGCCCCAGATCCTGCTTTAAAATATGGAACTCAAAAAGAACAATTCAGCTTATTTTGTTATTAGCAAACAATTTCCAGTCTTGTTCTCCAGAACAGCTGAACCACTTTAACTGGAACTTTCCAAAACACAAAGAAAGAAAACAAAACCAAGACTAAAATCAGAGGGAAGAACGACCTTTTGCACAGTAAACATAAGCTGAAGCAGTTAAACTGCGTAGCGTGTGAGCTTCTGAGACCAGTGGCTTCTGAAGAAAAAGCATTAACTTCATTGGTGATCCTACCATCTCTACCTGTAATGTGCATGCTGTAAAGACTGGCACTGCTTTCTGCCGAATGGTCTGCACAACAGGGGAGGATTACATACTCCTACTGCATAAAGGAAAAGTCCTGGGCCCACAGTTGGCTGCAGATGCAAGATTTGACTCAGATGAGAGCAATTCTGCTTCTGCCCTGGACAGGGTATGGACTGCATCTGGTCTACTTCACTGGCACATCACCCACTTCACATTGCGCAGGAGAAAGTCACCTGAAAGATTACAGTATGAAAGGTCTGAATGCCAGACAAACTTCTTCGGCAAGAGACAGCTTAAATTCTTTTTTCTTAAATTCTGTAGTTGGTGCCACTATATAAATAACCTCCCTGCAACTCCATTACTGACCCTACAGCATGCAAGAGCCATGCTTCAACTGCTCCTGAGCATTTGCTTGGCCTCTTCACCTGGTCTTTGAAATTCTTGGATACCAAAACTTTCCCTCTGAGTTGTACTCAAACTCAAAACGAAAAAAAACCCAAACCAACACAACAACCAAACCCAAACACTAGGCACCGCCTGCAAAGCTCTTCTATCATCCAAAAAGCAAACAATGTCTGCTTTGAGTCTTGCTGTGTGGTACCTACAGACAGCAGCTGATTCTCCTTTGGCCTCCTGCCCTCTACACCCAGACATACCGATGGGTCATAGTTAAAAAAAGCAGAGCAGAAATGAGGAAGGACAAATAGTACCTGGATAGCTAGCAGAGATCAATTCAAACTGGATCTTTTCCATGACTTAAGGGGTGATATGTCTGCCATGCTTTGAAGGGACAGCTACTTGACATCCATTCTGGGAGCTTTTTCCAGTATCAAGGATGCTGTGGGGGGGAAATAAACAAAAGCCCCACAATGCAGAAGTCATTCTACCATGTCCTGATTTAGAGACTGAAAAGCTCAGTCCAAGAGGATTTTTAGTTCAGGTCCTTTCTACGTGACTAGTAGGCCACACACTGTTCAACCTTCCCTTGGTGAGTTTGTGACCTGGGGCTTTGGTCTTAGCTTATTGCTGGCTGAGCAGGCTACCAGGTACCACCTTGCCTTTTGGGGAGCACCAGGAACCACTTTCCTGCAGAAAACAGATTTCCTGTTGCTCTGTGAGTGATTTCCTGGTAAGGTTCTCCCCTGTTATTTCTCTAATGTCTAATAATGAGCAAGCAAAAGTTTCAGTCTTTTCCCCTCTTTGGAGCCTCTCAGTGTTTCCTTTTCCTCTGGCAACCCCTTTCTTTGAAAACTTGCAGGAATATAATACCTTGGTTTAAGGTTCAAGAGCTGTGCAATATGGGACTGGGAATGCTCTCCATCCTTCCAACCTTTCATATGAAAGGCAAGTGACTCCTACAAACATATGCTTTGCAAGGTGCAAGCTGCCTGATAATGCTCCCTCTCCAGAGCACACTGTACAGAAAGTCACATGTCATCCTAGTAAAAAGCATAGCCCACATAGGAGATAAGAGCTCTAAGCTTACCTGGGAGTGGCAGAGGACATTCTTCCTGGGACAGTCTTTGGCAATAAACCAAGACAACAAATGTTTATGGCCTTCACTGCAAGTTGGATTTATTGCAAGCCCTATACACAAAAGCAACTAGCTGGAAATTCGTTGTATAACAAAGAGTTAATCTGCACTTGTTTGATTGTCAAGCACCTGAGATATGACGACAACACATTGGCACAGTGTAATTGCAACATATTATTAAGTACCTTCAGTCCCCAAAGGCTAAGACACTTTAAAAAAAATAATAAAGATAATGCACATAATAGCCTGTGTCTTGTTATTTAAGAAACCTCTTCCCGGCATCGGACGTCAACAGTACGTGTAAATGCACTTTCTGCAATAACTATGCACAAGGAGCAGACTGATGGAGTGCCAGAAAGCACAATGACTGTTCTACCTTAGCAACGTACAGAAGATGACATGTTCCCTTCAGAACTAATTGCTTTATTCAAAAGAAGCCATTTAGTAAATCCTAGCCTGGTCTCTTCCCTTGATGGGCTATTTCAGACTCCACATTGGAGCTTTTGTTTGTTGTTAAAGCAGAGGGACAGAAAAGTGTTTTGTTAAGTCATTTTAATTTTCATATTTAATGGAAAAGAGTTCAGAAGGGTATTTTTCATTATATTATTTGAATATTTGCATTGTATATTCCATTGGGTCTTTCCTTATGTAACTCAAGGCTGAAAGTTCAGGCTGTCAAATAAAACCCTTTATATCAAATAAGTTACCTTACACCAAGATCTAGTTGTAACTATTGCTACAGACCAAGATGCATATCTGAAAGTAGAAAATAATCTTAACTTTGTTATTATTGTTGTTCTGCATTCTCACATGCATAACATGGAACCGTTTTCAGAACTGCTTCCAAAATTCACTGTATTCGTACTGTCAGACTGCTCCCTACATCCCCACATTAAAAAAAACCAAAACACAATAAACCAAAACAAAGAATTCTGCTTCTTGTGCCTTCAAGAAACAGCTGTAGTGACTTCATACACAAATCAATGCCATTTACAACAGAATTATTCCTTTTATTTCTCCCTACTTCAAAAAATTAGAATAATTTCACAATGAGCCCTAGGGAGTAAGTTCATGCAAATGCACAGAGCAGATACATGAGGCAAAGTGTTTAGTTATACATTTCAGAAGGCAGCAAATGGGCCTATCTGCTGCTCTGTGAGCAGTGAGAATAATTATGTATGCATTTGCTGCATCTCAAAATCATCATCATCATGCAGATGACATTTCATAGCCGAATTGGGAATCTGCCTTTCCCAAGATTATTTTTTGTTTGGAAGAAGAAATTATTCTAAATAATGTCTGGGGAGGATAGATATAGGAAAGCATAGATTGGAGAGTCAGACATTCTGAAGTCATAATCCTATCACCACTTCTCTAAATAATTCTATGATATTGTTAACTCCACATTTGCAAAATGGTAACACATCTCTCTGTGGCAGAGTCCCAGGCTACTGGGAATTTCTGAGAGATGTTATGAACTGGTGCATTCATGTGAGCAAGTCAAACTCTGTCTGCATGGTGGAACTCCTGTGGGCTTCATAAAACCTTGGCCAGATTTGGATGGTTAGGGGACTCTCTTTTGTCCTAGTGAAAGTGCTACAGGACCCAAGTCAATGCCTCACCACTGAATAGGTACTAAAGACAGGAAGCATCATGAAGAGTTGTGTCTATTAGGTGTACCTCTGCCTCCCACAGACAACCAGAAGAAAAGATCTCATCTCTTGGCTCAGTGATGAAGGACAGGACGGTACGAAGAAAAACCAGCTTGAGGCACAGTGGGCTCAGTGAACATCACATAATTAGACCTGTACCAGTTCCTCCATGAAATAAACTGGATTGTCATGTAGGAGGAAGTCATGGTCATTTCTAATAATAAGACCTTAGGTAAATTATTTCACCGTTCTGGCAGTCATGGGATCTGGTTGCTCTCTTCAAGGGGAAAGAACTCAAAAAATCTTTTAAAAGAAATAAGTTCAATTTTCACTGGTATGATAAGACAGTGAGGCCCTATTTTCAACACAGGTGCTAGAAGAGTTGAAAGAAACCTGAATGAAAATGAGACCTTCACCTCTTGAGGATCTATACTGTCATATTAGGCATGAGGACTTTACTATAAACAGGCACACTGCGTTAACATCGCGGCACTCCTTTGCCCAATATTCTAGTGGGACTTCTTATCTACATCAGCATTTTGCAGCCAAGAAGTTTGTACAGGATGACTGGACTGATATGCAATAGCTTAAGACCAAACTGAACCTGGTTGAGTGCAGCATTTGTTTGAAAATTATTCCTTGGAATTATGTAGCGCGTAAATGTTAATGTTGATAACAAGTATCTGAAAAAGTGGCAGTCATCAATGCTTTGAAGGCTCAAGCGCTTTGCTAGCCATGAGCCTGCCTAACACACAGAGATCAGCAATCCTTGTTTCTCCTCTACCTAAATATATAGCAACTACTTACAAATGCAAAGTGTATTCTTCAGGTGTCCTGAACAGTACACACTGTGCAGAAAACTGCTACCAAAATTCAAGCCAGAACAAATTGCTGGCTGGACAAGAAAGCAACATTTACCCAACAATATGATGTCACTTATGCATATGTGGGAGGAAGAGAAAAATCTTGATTTGTTCTGGCCATAGATGAGGACACAGCTTGAAATTAATTGATCGTGGGTGCATTCAAAGTAACAGCTTGATCCAGTTCCAGCAAAATCCAATGACAAGACTCTGGTGCACAACACTGAAAGTGCCAGACTTTCTTCTTGAAGACTTCAGCTCTCACTTCACTGTGTAGAAGTGAACAGACTTTCTCTGTCACATTTCTAGGGCAAGCTCTGATTAGGCATTCGGACCTGAGCTCTCTTGGGGTGAGGATTAGGAGGGGAAAGATAGGCTGATGTGTAAAATGTTTTATTTGTTTAAAGAATATTTAAAGTAAATAACCAAATTAATTAGGATGAAACTTTCATGAAGATTCTTGAGTCAGGAATCCAGTCCACCATTTGTTCTTTCTACCTGTATGATCACCACTATCACAAAATGTCAGCATTTTACAACCTCACCTTCTAAGTATTCTTTGAGACAGAAAGATGTTTGCAGTGCCCTTTTGACAGATACATCTCTGCAGAATTAACCTAAGTGTCCTAACAGTGGTATTCTGTAGGATAACCCTTTCCTCTTGTATGTCCAATCTTCATTTGCCTCAACACACTTTTTCCTTCTGTTTGCTTTTCCCCACTGATGCCTTACACTCAACTTTAAGGGCAAAGCTCAGCCAACCTGCTTTACTCCCATTTATAATCAATCTAACTTCCCGGCTCTGTGGCACCTTTTGCTGTGCTCAAGACCACTGTCACACAGTTCTGCAAATCCAGAGTAATTTGCTGACATGGAAATTAAACCATTGCTCTTCTGATGCCAATAAACCATAGTGCTGACAATTGAAACAGTCATTCCAGCAAAATGGTCAGGAGCATCCACGTTTGTCATCTCTTGACAACTCCAGATCAAGAGAGTTCAATTCATAAAAAGCCAAAAGATGAGTTCTCTAAGTACCAGTGTCAAAAAATTGGAATCTCAGTGTGATTTCTTAGAGCTACTTAATAGAGAGAATGTCTTTATTTAGCACCTGTCATTTCAAGTTCCCAAAAGGCTCTCTCAAAAAATTAAGTTTCCTCATAAGCTTCCTAGCCAGACATCAGGCTCCAATTTACAAGGGGTAAACTAGTTTAAGGTCACCCAGCATGGGAAAGAAGAGCTGGGAAGCAGCTCCAGGAATCCAAAGGACTACACCCATCAGTAGCCACTAGACCACACAACTGTCCCCATTTCACTCTAGTCATTATTAAGCAGGATAGAAGAACACTGTGGTTTTATGTTAGCTGAAATCTTGCATTAACATTTTACTGTCCCACTGATGTTTTGCCTAGAACATTCTGTAATCCACAAATTAATATGTGAAGAACATCCAGTACAGTTTATGGAATAAAAAAATTACACAAATGGCAATGGAGTCTTGACTTCCAGCAGTTTTGTAAATCAAGCGTTGGAGAAAGAAGGTTCCTTATTTTATCACACATAGCGTTGTGTAATGCCAGCAAAACTGCTGTCCTTCCCAAAACCAAGCAGAAACCCTATTGTTGTGGCAAACCCCAGCTGGTCACATGGAAAACTTAAAACCTCATGGCATTCTGTTTTGCATGAACCGAGAGGCAGTTTTTCTTTTAACATGACAAGGATCAAAAATAAATGTGTTTTACCTATGCCTAGTATCTGAAGTTCTTGTTGCCTGCTTTTAGTCATCACTTCATGTTTTCTATGATCTTGCCTTTAGCTTCTGGCATAAATGTTTCTCTATCCTGCGAATCCTATCCCTGTTCTTGTTTTTGTTAAATCACTTTATTAAAGGATTCTTCTTAAAGGAGGGGGATTTGCTTCCATTTAGGACAGCTCCATGCTGCAGTCAATGCAATGAAACAGAAATCCGAGGCAAAACCCAATCCCCATTCAGAAAGACCTTGAGCAAAGCAGCAGGAAACTTGCCTGGATCAGGCATAGGTCCTGCTTGCTCAGAGCACAGCTGGGAAGAATGCATTTGATCACAGAAGTGTGCCCTGTCAAGGAAAGCCACCACTGTCACCAACTGAAGTCCAGTACTCCAGCCCGACTCAAACTCTGTATGGACATAGGCAGAGCATAAACCCTAACCTGAACAGAATTATTTAAAACCTGTTTAAGTAATTAGCCAACCTCTCTCATCAGATCAACACCACCTGAAGCCGAGATCTCCACAGACCTGGTGCGAGCATGCAGAGCTGCTGAGCCCCTGCTGGAGCTCTCCCAGTGCTGAAGGGCCCCTCTCCGCAGCCAGGCTGTAGCAGAGAGTGATTAAGTATTAAGCCTCAGGGAAGCTGCAGAAAAAGTGCAACTACAGGGCTGAAATGAGACTTTGCAGGGTCAACTGACAACGAAGGAAAGGGAAACCCCAGCAGGGAAGATCCATATTGCCAGCGTGAAATGGGTGGAGGAAAAAGGGACTATGCCACATGTTGAGG